GAGAGGACAAGCGTGAGATTAAAACCCTTCACTTTCTTGGCATTTGTCTTCACTCCTTTTCTCTCTCTCACAGTAGAATCCAGAGAAGTAGAATCCAGAGAAGAGAGAGAGCCTCTAATGGCAGAATGAACATAGAAATCTCACAATCTCTTCTTCTCCGAAGAGGAAGATGGCTTTAGAAGAAGAAGAAGAGAGCCAAAACGCACCGTATTGTATACTCGATGGTCTTATCTGTGAGGAAGAGAGTAGTGGGTTTGAGGAAGAAGTAGATTTAATTGAGAAATCTGATTCTAATGTCGTAAAGTTTTCGTTTTTCCATCTGGGTATTACCGATCAGGACATGTTTTATGATGACGATGAGTTATTGAGTCTGATTTCGAAAGAGGAAGAGTTAAAGCCTTGTCTTTGCGACGGAATCTTAGATGAGTTTCTGATTCTGTGTCGGGAAAAGGCTCTTGATTGGATCTTTAGAGTGAAATCTCATTATGGGTTTAATTCCTTGACGGCTCTTCTTGCTGTTAATTACTTCGATAGGTTTATTACAAGCAGGAAGTTTCAGACAGATAAGCCATGGATGTCTCAGCTTACTGCTGTGGCTTGTTTGTCTTTAGCTGCTAAAGTTGAAGAGATCCGAGTTCCATTGCTCTTAGATTTCCAAGTAAGTTTCTTTATTTCTCAGATTCGATTTGTGTAATGTCGCTTTAGTGTTTGTTGAAATGCCGATTTGAGACAGATTTTTGTGTTTTGTTTAAGGTGGAAGAGGCAAGATATGTCTTTGAGGCTAAAACCATACAGAGAATGGAGCTTCTGATTCTTTCTACTCTTCAATGGAGGATGCATCCTGTGACTCCAATCTCGTTTTTCGATCATTTTATCCGACGATTCAGCTCTAAATCTCATCAGCAATTTGAGTTCTTGAGAAGATGTGAATCTCTGTTGCTCTCCATTGTCCCTGGTAATGCTGCTTCCATTTAGATCTCTTGAGGTTACGTTGGATCTGTTGGTTCTCCTGTTGCTGAATTCTTTGTTCTTGGTTATTCAGATTCGAGGTTTATGAGTTATAGCTCTTCTGTGTTAGCCACTGCAATAATGGTCTCTGTGATTAGAGATTTCAAGACGTGTGACGAAGCTGAATACGAATCTCAGCTCATGACTCTACTCAAAGTGAATAAGGTCTGAGGCATTATCATTACTCGAAAGTTAATTAATTATTTTGGATCAATGAATAAATGCCAATGTTATTAGTGTTAAGATCAAGAACTGATTCCATCATCGTTTTTTACTTAAACAGGAGAAAGTAAATAAATGCTATGAGTTAGTGTTAGATCACATGCCAAGCAAGAAAAGGATGATGAATTGGATGCAACCCGCTAGTCCGATTGGTGTATTCGATGCATCATTCAGCTCTGATAGCTCGAATGAGTCGTGGGTTGTGTCTGCTTCTGCTTCAGTGTCTTCATCATCGTTGTCTCCAGAGCCTTTGTTCAAGAGGATAAGAGTGCAAGAGCAGCAGATGAGGTTATCTTCAATAAACAGAATGTTTCTCGATGTGTTTAGTAGTAGTCCTCACTAGTAATCACCAATCAAAATGTGTCGACTTAGATTCATAAAAATCTGTTTCGGATTAGTATCGGCTACTACAAGGAAACATTTTGCGTTTTTTACTCGGTTCGTGTGTTTATGATCGAAAAACAAAGATCGCTCGTTTACATTAAAAGTTTCTTTATGATCTTCTCGCTGTTTCTTCATTTGCTGATGCTGATCTAGTTTCATATCACAGCCTTTGCAATTTGTATAGAAAGATAAAGTGTCAAAGATTAGACTGGTCTCTTGTTAGGATCTTCATAAGCAACATCATTACCATTATACTGCGGGTCCTGTCTGAAAAAAAAACTTACAGAGCTAATTGGTTAGTTACTTAGTACTACAGAGAGATATATGTGAGGGACATGTCCTTTGAATTGAAGAGACAACTAAAGAGTTGGTTGGACAACTAGTAATGATTTTGAATTTTGTGAATCAAAATCAGCAAATGTATATCTTCTTAAGCTTGTGTGGACTTGTCCAGAGTTTTTTATTTGTTACCATTTTTGTGGGGTTTGATTTGAAAGGAAATGAAGAGAGACCAAACACTTGGGATAGTTCAAGTACTTGTTTCTTTTCAGTTAGGGTGAAAAGCAAAACTGTGTGGGAGATATACAACATAACAACATACGTACTCATAATATCACTTTATCTTCTTGCCATTGCCATGTCATGTCAAAACATTTAATAAAAATACCTTCCATGAAGAGTCTTGTTGTTACAGAGGACCAAATAGCATTGAAGAGGTTCGATTAGAAAAATAAAAGAAATAAAATAGAAGCTTTCTGGTTGAACAGGAGTGAATGTACTAAACCAAACCGAACCGAACTGAACCACTCATTAGGTCAATTTGTTCTTTGGATCTTACAGAGTTTTGTGTGTTTCTTGGAAGTAGTATCTCAAGTCTACTTTAGAAATTTGAATATTAACAAATTCAARAAAGAAGAAAAAAAAGACTTATTATAAACTCTAAAAAGACTAAATCATAGTATATGTTAAAGATTAAAGACATGAAAAAGGCAAACAAACATATGCAGATGAAGAAGTTTTATATCGTTCCAAAGATTTATCAGTGTATCATAATATATTATGCGATGTTAAACATCTCTTTGATGCTATTGATAATGCCAGAATTTAAACCTATCTAATGATGAAAAAATTGCAAAAACAGGGGGAGGCAAAGTGTACATGAACTCAATAATTAGTTCAATTTGAATCGTGAATATTTGTGTTATTTGTACTCTACGTCGGATCAATATTTTCGGTTTTTGGTTACGCAATTAATCGGATATCCGTAAAAATATGAATACTCAGCCAAACATTCGATCCGCTCCACCATTTTTTAAAAATAAATTTTGAGTAACCCAAGTATTCATAGAGAAATTATATTTCTTTCCTAATTTGTGAAATTATAATACATTTTACAAATAATTTGATGAATACAAATACATAGAATAACTATATAACTTTGGTTTTATGGGTTGTTTGTTTCGGTATAAGAGTTAAGTCTTTCC